CAAGAACGCAAAATGGCCGAATGTAAATTTACCAGGAAATTATTGGATTAAATATCTGTGGGGCAGGGACAGGCTCAGTTGAGTCAAAGAAACAAGTTGCTCCCCAAGCACCTGAGTCATTATGAGCCAAGAGCTGTACTGCTCAGGGAGAAATCAGCCCCAGTTCTTGGGACCCCAAGAAGTGACAGGGAGTATGGCAAGTGCCAGGGGAAGACGGGAAAAGGTACCCAGGAGAGGGAAGGGCCTCTGCAGAGGTCTGGAGAAGGAAGTGAAACGTCTTCCGGGACCTTGAGACACTCAGTGTGAGCGTGGTCAGGACGGAGCTGGAGGTGGTGGCCACAGTGCCCAGACCGCAGTCAGCCGGCAGAGGCGGCGCCACAGGAGAGCCCAGGCGTGCCCCAGGAGACAGCCCAGCCTCTGGTGACTGAGGGCACTGGGGCTGGAGGGGGAGAGTGCATTCAGCAAATCTGGGCACCTACCCCGCGCGGCCAGTGCCTGGGGTGCCTCTTACTGAGGCGTGGGGGAGGGCAGGCAGGCAGACAGACTCGGAAAACTGAAATGGGGTGTGGCGATGTGATAATGTTACAGGGCAGGGAGAGGGGCACCTCCGAACCCCCAAACCTGCCTGCTCTAAGTGGGTTCTGCCATCTGCCGCATCAAGACAAAACATCTAAGACTTTAATGAAAAGGAACTTTAATACAGTGAATATACAATACAGAAGACTAAGAACATAATTTCTAAATCCCGTCCCCTCGTGGGCAAAGGTCCACCCAAAAGGGACTGGCCCAAAGCCAGGGCCGAAAGCTGCCACAAGACTAAAGCACTTCTGGACAGGACCCATGGAAAGGGGTCAGACATGGCCAGACGAGTCTGGGAGGAAAAGAGCAACATCAAAACTAATATAAACATGCCGTAGTCACCTCCCCACGGGCCTCACCCACATCTCCTTCAACCAGTCCAGGGCCAAGACATAAACACGGCTTATTCACGCCTCCCCTTGCTCCATGTGGCGTCCTCAGTCTCCTTCTGGCTCTCCATCCTGCTGCCTCTTCTCTGATTCCTTCTCTCTAAATTCTTTTTTTTTTCTCTGTTCAGCTCCACCCTCCTTCTGGAAGGGGCAGGAAACCTGGAACTTGCCCTTCTCCTGGGACCACCCTGTTACAGGCCCACCTGCTTCACCAAGGCCCTTGCTCAGGAGGACAGGAGACCGGCAGCCCTGGTGCAGGAGAGCAGAACTCACTTGGCCAAGGTGGCCCCTGGCTGCTCCCTGAAATACGGTGCTGATCACGCCACTGTCCGGATCTGGCCGGGGACTGGCTTCCTCTCCCCAGCAGGGGTGTTCCTCTAGGTGAGGTCTGCATGACAGCGCCCACCTCAAACCTCACCCAGAACCCACAGGTGGAGGCTCTAACTCCCAGCGCTACTTACTTGGAGACAGGCTCTCTCTCTCTTTTTTTTTTATTTAAAGTTTTTTTTTTAAGATTTATTTATTTGTGCATACAGAACTGGGGTACAGGCCAGAGACTCAGGGGTGGCGAAAGACTTCACCAGAGACAGAATGGGGAGCAGAACAGGCAGATTGACGAAGTACACTGCTGAGGGGAGCAGCGGGCGGGTCAGGAGAGGTCTGCCACGCCCATGTGGTCACCTCCGGGGCAGGCGGGGATTGAACTCATGCGGAAGTGGCTTCAGCTTCTTAGTGCAGTGCTTTGACCCGCTGCGCCACCAGGGAGGGCCAGGCTCTCTTTTTTTTTTTTAAACAGCGACCAAGTTTAAATGAAGTCAGAGGGTGGAGATCTGATCGAGTGTTAATAGTGTCCTTGAGAAAAAGAGGAAGTGGCTAGGTGAGGACATGTTCAGAAAGCAGCTGACTGTCCACCAGGAAGGCCTCAGCAGACACCAGCCCTGCAGGCACCTTGGTTTCAGACTTCTCGCCTCCAGACCTGGGAGAAAATTAATTTCTGATGTATAGCCCCCCACCCCCACCGACTATGCTTTTTTTTTTATTATTTTTATTTATTTATGCACACAAGAACTAGGGTATAGGCCAGAGGTATGGGGGTGGTGAGAGGATTCACCAGAGACAGAGTGGGGAGAAGAACAGGTGGATTTACTGCAATCTACTGCTGAGGGGAGCAGCGGGGAGACAGGAGAGGTCTGCTGCGCCCTGTGGGTCACTCCCGGGCCAGGGGTTGAACTCAGGGGTTGGCAGTGATAACTTAACCCAAGGCCGCCAGCAAGGCCCCCAGACTGTGCTTCTGTTGAAGTAACCCAAGCAGACTGACACAGAGGTGGACTTCTGAACCGCCAGGTGCTCTTGTTAATTGTGCAGACTCAGATGCACCTAAACCCTGAAGCAGAAATCGGGGTACAGAGTCCAAGAATTTATGTTTTGAACAGACTCGCAGTGAAGTGTCCTCTGTATGAACTCCCAAGGGCAGGGAAGACCAACTGCCCTCACCCCCATCACCCACCGGCTCTTCCGGTCACTGTCTCCCTCTCTGAGGCCAAAGGACTGCTCGGCTCATCTGGCCCTCAGGGCCAACTCGCCTGCTCCCCACACTCTGCCTTAACCCCCCCTGCACCCCCCCCCCAGGAACTGAGCCAGGACAGCCCAGGCCGATGTCTCAAAACCCAGAGATAAGTCTGGTCCTTGGAGCAAGGTGCACACAGCTGTGGACACCCCTGGCTCTGGGCAGATGTGCCCAGAACTGCAGGAGGGCAGGACACTGAGACACCAGTCTCCATTTGTCACGGTCCTGCCCCACTGCAGGGGCTGCAAGGCCTGGGGAAGCCTCCGTCTGTCACACCCACACTGCCCCCTTGGGCACAGTGGGCCTCAGTGACTGGTGGGTTCTTGCCCTCTGGCTACCTTCAGCCCTCCTAGTGGCTGAGGGCAAGCTGAAAACACAAAGCCCTGCGTCCTGAGTCTGTCCCACCACAACCTGTGTGCTACATGTCCAGATAATCACATCGGGAGAAGGAAAGCAAGAGGACATTTCCCATACAGGTTTGTTTCTAGACTTCAATGAGGTGACCTCTGTAAATCCCCCGTCCCAGTCTGGCACTCAGCTGGCCTGCAATAAAGATACCTCACATGTAAACCACCCACCCCCCCAGACTGAAGTTTTTAAAAAAGATTTTTATTTATTTGTGTATAAAAGAGCTGGGTAAAGCCAGAGGTGCAGGGGGTAAGAGGATTCACCTAGGAGGTAACAGTGATGTCGTTTTTTTTGAGTTCAGCGTCTTTGGGTTCACTCAGGGATTTCACCAGAGCTCCCTTTCAGCGGCAGACGGAGAGTTTCTCCATGAGACACTCAGTTATATTTAAAGAGCTGGTTTGTTAGTGACGAGGACAGGTGTATTGGACACCTGCATGGGCACAAGCAGGCAGGGAGAGCTTGCCCCTCCCCCCCCACCCGGAAGGGAAAGGTTTGCAGAGACAGAGACCTGTATGGTTGCAGACAGGCGGCCTTAGGAGAGCAGCCTCTGCTGAGGGAGGTCAGTGCAGAGAAGTCCAGGTCACAGGCAGGCAGGAGGCTGCTGCCCTGCAGAGGGAGAGAGGTGGGTGGAAAGAAGCACCTGTCAGGCACAGGTGGGCAGAGGACCGCTGCCGGTGCTGGTGCAGACTGCCCAGATATGGACAGCTTCTCTCTGGGAGGGGCTGGCTCCTTGGGAGCCTGGGTTTGTTGATCTTGGATAGAATCTGAAAGGACCGGAGACTCCCCAAAGGGCCACATCTCCCTATCTTATCTTTTACCTTTTGAGTGTGAGCTCTAGACACCACCCCCAACAGTTTGTTATCTGCTTGGGCCTCACCCGAAATCACAGCTTTGGCGGCTGAGGATTTTGATTTTATGGGGTGTCTAGGATCTTGACTTTTATGGCTGTGTTAATGGCTATGCTAACTCCTCTACCCATCCCCCCCCCCCCCCCCGTGTGACTCTTGTGATATCTCCCCTATATTACTCCTCCATCAACAGTACTTTATCTTCACTTTATGACAGAGGAAATTGAGGCACAAAGAGACGAGAGGAAGATCCTGGAGAAGGGGGGATCTGATCACATTTTGGAGGAAAGGCTGGGATGAGCCCAGGAACAGAGGCGAAGAGGCCGGGTGGTCCCAACGGGATATACTTCACTGGCTGTTACAGGGTAGCCCAGAGTGTGCCCGTCTGTGGGTCCTCACCCTCACGCTTAAAATGTAATTTTCTGCAGGCACACACAAAAGGTAACGGGCTTATGAGCTGGAGTAGGGGGTGGCGTCCACAAAACTCTGCGGAGTTCCCTTAGGCCATCCTTCCCCTGAACTAGACTAGCAAAAATTAAGAACAGACACCTCTCAGGGATGACCCACGCAGCCTGGGTAAACCGCCCCCGCCCCTGGGAGGAAGCCTGCTGTGGCCGAAGCTGCTCGGAGAGGCCGCCAGGGAGGCCAGGGACCTCTGTCCACCCAGGACGGCCCGTGCTCATTATATTTTAAATGGATGCAACAGATTGATCAAGAGATGAATCGATAGCTGAGTGGCTGGCGGGAAGGTACCATCCAGGGAACCTCTGACTCATTTTTAACGTCTTGAGCGAGCCCCTTGGGGGCTCTCTGGGCTGTCGCCCCGGTCCGTGGAGCCCCGGTCCGTGGAGCCCGAGGGAGCAGGGCGCGAACAGCGGGGCAGTAGCGGTCATAACCGCAACAGCCCGACCAGGCCTTCGCCAAGAACCCCGGGAGGTCCCAGGACTTTATCTCCACTTATAGAAGAGGAAACCGAGGCACAGAGACTAGGAAGGACCCCCGGGACGTTTCCGAGGAAAGCGCGGGATGGGCCCGGGAGCGGAGAGGAAGAGGCGGGAGGCGCAGAGGGCGCGCTCCGGCCGCCGACGCCCCGCAGCAGCAGGGGTGCGCGGGAGGGGCCGACTCCGCCCCTGGCGTCTCCATGGCAACAGACCCCGCGCATGCGCCTCGAGCGCCGGCGGAAGCTGGGCAGGCGGCGGGGGCGCGGGGCGGGCTTTTAAAGGGGCGCTCTCCGCGGCGGCTGTTCCCGGGTGGGGAGAGCAGATGGGAAGGCCCCGGGAGTCGGGATCGCGGAGGTAGAGAAGACGCTGGGCTGTGGGACCACCTCTTCCCCGGGCGACGAGGGAGAATGCAAACGCCCTCGGGCATGGTTGTCCCCCGCGGGCAATACGGGGCAATACTATGGAATTGCACCTTTTGGGTAACAAGAGGGAGACAGAATTTTAGCTCCTCCCTCACCCCCTCTCCCCCCCACCTCCCGGGAAAGTTAAAAGGCGCTTGCACTGGTAAAATGAGAAGTGGGGTAGGAAGAAGGGTGGGCTCCGCGGCCGCCCCTTGCAGGGGAGCTGGGGCCCCACGGTAGTCAGAGGGCTGGAAAGAGGGGGCGCAGGCTCAGCTTGAGACCGTTGCCCTTGCCCTTCCCTACTTTCAGCATCCCGCCGTCTCCGTCCCCCCGCGGCGGTGCCCAGCCATGGCCAGAGCGCCCGCCCCAGGCTCGGTGGTCGTCCCGGACTGGCACGAGAGCGCGGAGGGCAAGGAGTACCTGGCCTGCATCCTGCGCAGGAGCCGCCGGCGGGTGTTTGGTAAGTGCCCCGCCGAGCCGGTCGCCCTCACTCCCTGGGGGAGCGGAGGGAGGAGGGAGAGTGTCTCAGCTCCGCTCAGCCTCGGCAGCCCCGAAAGCTGCGCCTGGGGCCCCACCCTCCGAATCTCCTTGGAGCTAATTCCATCACCGGAGCCAGGACCTCGGAAAGAGCGAAACCCAGCCAGGAGCCACTGTCACCGGAGATGCTGCTGATTGAGCCCTCCTCGCCCCATGCCAGGCCCTCTTCTGGCACTTTACACAGCCAGCTCCCGCTTAACCTCACCAGCACCTACTAGGACTGGCCCAAGGCCCACCCTAGTAAGTAGGGCCAGGCCTTGCATGTCCTGCTGGATCCGGGATAAGATGCACGTGTTCCCCAGGATGAAGCCAATTCCCTGGCAGGTCCGCAAAGGAGCCTAGCATTCATTGCAGCCAGGAGAAACAAGTGGCCAGAAGACTTAGGCCCAGCGAGGGGGAGGCAGCCCACCAGGACTCAGGACTCTCGGGTCGCAGGCTTACAGAGATGTCATAATTGAGACAGTTCTTTGGCAAATTTTACATTAAAAATATTCACAAAGATCTTGACATTGATTCCAAGGGGCTTATTTATAGGAATTGAGACTACTTCTGCTGATATGTCTCCACTAAGGAAAGAATTATGAAAAACCTTACTTTTACGTGTGGGGAATCTAGAACATGTGAGAATAGTACCAGTAAAAACCATGCGTGTAGAGAATTTTAGAAATTAATAATTCAAGGAGGGAGGACAGTCATGTTCTAGCCCACAGGATGCCCCTTACTTAGGGCTGCAGGACCTTCATGTCTTCGTTCTGATGCCTTCTCCCTCCAGAAGCTACCATCTGTGCCCAGACAGGGGACAGGGCCCCTGAGAGTGTGGTTACAAGCCCAAGGGAGATACAGATAAAATGTGGTTGTCCTTTAAAAAATGACAATAATGGGGCCCTCGCTGGTGGCACAATGGGTAAAGGCGCAGCACTATGAAGCTATCAGCAGGAGTTCGATCCCCAGCCAAGGGGGTGATCCACACAGCTCCGCAGACTTCTCCTGCCTCCCCGCTGCTCCCCTCAGCAGTGGATTGCAGTAGATCCACCTGTTCTGCTCCCCACTCTGTCTGTGGTGAACCCTCTCACCTCTACACCTCTAGCCTATATCCCAGTTCTTGTGTGCATAAATAAATAAATCTTTCTTTTAAATGATGATAGTAATAATTCCGTGTTATTTGGAGCTCGCAGGGCTCCAGTGTTCTCAGCAGAGCTTTGCCTCAGGGGTTCCTGTCTCAACAATAAAGGTCAAGGCCCATGAGTGGTTAACACTGAAGCCTTCGCGCTGAGGTGTCCGTCTAGGTCGGACAGGGCAGCCTCAAGTTGACCCCTGGCCCCACCTGGCTCTTTGTCCTAGGTCTGCTTGAGCGACCAGTACTGTCCCCATCAGTGACCATTGACACGGCCAGCTACAAGATCTTCGTGTCTGGGAAGAGTGGTGTGGGCAAGACAGCGCTGGTGGCCAAGCTGGCTGGCCTGGAGGTGCCCATGGTACACCATGAGACCACTGGTGAGCGGGGCCCGACCCTTCGCCCGTCCTCGGAGGCCTTCACTGGGGTGGAGAAAAGACTCTGGCCCTGGGACCTGCCATTTACTCTGCCCCTTGGTCGGTCAGCTCACCTCTGCACCTGCAGTGGCTCCTCTGTCCAGTCCCTCACAGATTCAGTCCCATGAGGTTGTTGTGGGGTGGGCACTAGAGATAATTCTGGCAACGTGCCTGGCATTGAGCCGGCACCAGTAGGTGCTCAGGAAACACTGCTCATCCTTGGTCTGACTCACTCCTCCGGGATCTCAGGGCCTTTGGTTCCCTCTGACGTACAGGTGGCCCTGCTGTGTCAAGGTCAGGGCCAGGGCAGGGGGCGGCTCTGCCAGGCAGGTGCATTCTCCATTCTCACAGGTCAGGGACTGGGGCGCCCCATGCGGGAGCGTGGTTCGTCCTGTTGCTTCCTGCCCCCTCCCTCTTCACTCCCCCTTGCCCCTCCTGAGTGGCCCATCTGCTCTCCAGGCATCCAGACCACCGTGGTGTTTTGGCCTGCCAAGCTGCAGGCCAGCGACCGTGTCGTCATGTTCCGCTTTGAGTTCTGGGACTGCGGGGAGTCGGCACTCAAAAAGTTTGACCACATGCTGCCGGTGAGCGGGCAGGGCTGGGTCCAGGTAGGGCTGGTCATCTGAGGTGGGCTTCAGAGTGCAGGTGTCTGAGCCCCGCCTGCCTGTTCTGCTGGGGCCCGGATTCACCACTGAGGATGCTGCCTCAGTGGGAGAGCTCTGAGCTGGCCCTGGGGGCTGAGGCCCAGCCCAGGCCACACCCTGCTCTGGGCCTCAGTTTCCCACTTTATAAAAGAAGGGATCATGCTGAGATTCCTCAGGGCCCTGCGGTTGGGGGTTCTGGCCCATGGTCAGAACCTCCCATCAGTCTCCTCCTCCCCAGGCTTGCAAGGAGAACACAGATGCTTTCCTCTTCCTCTTCTCCTTCACCGACCGTGCCTCCTTCGAAGACCTCCCTGGACAGCTGGCCCGCATAGCTAGCGAGGCACCTGGTGCTGTCAGGATGGTGGTCGGCTCCAAGTATCCTTTGGGTGGCCCCTAGGACTGTCAGAGGCTGCCCTTGGCAAGGTGCCAAGCGAGGAGGTCGGGGCCCCTTCTTCTGCCCCATCGTGGGTTCCAGGCCCAAGGGAGTTATCTTGTTCTTTCTTAAAGATTTATTTATTTATGCACACAAGGACTAGGGTGCAGGCCAGAGGTGTGGGGGTGGTGGTGAGAGGATTCACCAGAGACAGAGTGGGGAGCAGAACAGGTGGATCCACTGAAATCCACTGCCAAGTGGGCAGCGGGGAGACAGGAGAGGTCTGCTGCGCCCTGAGGGTCACCCCTGGCCGGGGATCGAACTCATGCTGCAGTGGCTGCAGACAGCTTCATAGTGCTGCACTTTAGTGTGCCCCCAGGGAGGCCTCCCCAAGGGATTTATTTTAAAGACTGCAGCAGGGCCTCCCCTAGACCCTGGGCATGGGGCTCCAGGGGAAAGAAAACTGGGTTTTACAGGTGTCTAGCGAGGCTCCTTGACCCTCCGGCAGATTTGACCAGTACATGCACACAGACGTGCCTGAGCGCGACCTCACTGCCTTCCGCAAGGCCTGGGAACTGCCTCTCCTGCGGGTGAAGAGTGTGCCAGGGCGGCGGCTGGCAGATGGGCGCACGCTGGATGGGCGGGCCGGGCTGTCCGACATCGCCCATGTGCTCAATAGCCTCGCAGAGCAGCTGTGGCACCAGGACCAGGTGGCAGCTGGCCTGCTCCCCAGCTCCCCAGAGAACCCCCCAGACGGAGGCGCAGAGGCATCGTGAGTGTGATCCCCATTCGGATCCTCAGAGGACCCAGGCCGGGGGCGGGACCCAGGGCCTAAGGCTGGAGCAGGAATGTTGAGTTCGTCCTGGGTGCTGGCCTGAGGGGCTGGCCAGGGTGGCAGCAGAGGGTCCTACCCAGCAGCACTTCTGGCAGAGTGCATGGCATGAGGTGAGGTAGGCCCTGCAGGGCATCCAGGTGCCCTCTGGCCTTCTCCCTCTGCCCTGGGGGTCTGGACTCCTGGCACTGAGCACCTGTATGGGCAGCCCCAGGACTCAGACTTCTTCCCCCCTGCCTCTTGCTACTCTTCCCACTTCCGCAGACCCAGAGTGGGGGGCTGCCTGGGCCCTGGCCTTCAGGCAACATCATCAAGAGCCTGTATTGTTGCTGACACCATCTGTCATGCGGGATAAATTGCACTTGGTGGCTTAACAAACACTACAGTGTTTTTCTTTCTTAGTCTCCACATCGAGTGGAGGTGAAGGTGGGCTGTGGGGCTGTTCCACCCACCCATTCAGACACGTGGGCTCTGAGAACTTCAACACCTGGCTTTCCATTGTGTCCTGGCCATCCACATCCTATCAGCAGACCGGAAGGAGTCACAAGGAAGGTGGCCCAGGGGTTTCTCAGGACCTGGCCTAGGACCCGGCACCTTGTGTCAGCTTGCATGCCATTGGCCAGCCCTGCGGCCACGTGGGGCTGCAGGGGAGGCTGGGAAATGTAGTCCACCTGTGGCTAGGAATGGCCCCTCACTCTACAGTGCCTTTCTTGATCATGAAGCTGACAAGCCCAAGGACCCTACCAGCCTGGGGAGGCAGAAGGCCACCCTTAGCAGAGCCATGAACTGGACCAAGAAGGCATCAGGGTGTGCATTGGCCTGATGGGTAGCTCTGGCCTGTGGGAGGCCAGTAGGGACAAGAGAAGGAAGGTGAGTGACCTCACTTACTGGTTCCTGGGTCTCACCTCTGACCCCTTAGCCAAAGACACTGGCGAATGCTGACCATAGTGGCCAGGGGCTGTCGACAAAGGGGGTTTATACTTTCTCTCCCTGACAATGTCCCATAGATGAACTCCTAGGCTGAGGCCTGGCCTGAGACTGACCCAGCTGGAAGGACTCTGGAGCCCAGGAAAAAAACACCTCCAAAGCCCCAAAAACCCTCTTGAACAGGCAGAGCCAGCCTCTCTGCACCCCCATCCTCTGTGATCCTGTGCTCACTCACATCAGCACTGCCCTGTGATGTCCCCACGCCAACCCCCGTACAAGGGGCTCATCCACCCACCTTCCTGCAACAAATCATGCCAGCCTGTCTTCCCTGTACTCTAGCCATAGGTCTGTCTCCCTTCCAGAGCTTCAGAGATGGCTTCCAGCACCTTCGTATCCTCAACTGTGGTTTGGAGCTAGGACTTGAGCTTATCCCAAACCTCAGAGAAGAATGTCCCTGGGCAGGACCCCAAGCCTCAGGCCTAAGCAGGCTGCAGCCTTTCCCACTGCAGCTTCTCCCTTCAGGAGGGGGGAGTGCAGCGCCATAATTCTTCTACTACTTGGTGGCTGTGCTTGCAGGGGCTCATGGGAAGGTGGGCAGAGTGCTGAGAAGTGAGCATGCCTACATGTGTCCAGATTCAGTGGCTAGCCTGTGGCCAGAGCCACTTGGCCCGGGACTCAGATAGGTGCACCCACAGCTGGCTGCAGTTGTCCTCTTGAAATTTTTGATCATTCTGGGATAGTTTTGCACTGAATGTCACAGATAATAGCAGATCTGGCTTGTGTTGTCCCATGAGAAGATCTGAGGTCCAGATAAAGCTCCTTTTCTCAGTGCCACTCCTATGGAGTGCCAAAAGACCACCCAAATGTTGCCTTTTCATTTTGCCTTCAGTTTCTGGAAGGTGCTAGAGATTTCTCAATTATGTAGAGTCATAACAGCTCAAAGACAAATGGCTGTCCCCTCACCCACCCCTCTGTGGGCCAGAGACTTCCAGAAGGGAAAGGGTGGTGGCTGTCCCCAGACTGTTTCCATGGTGGGTCCTAATTTGGAGGGGACCTTTGGGAAAAGAGTAAACGGTCCTGGCTCCCTCCTCAGAGCCCTGAGGCTTATAGACTTTGGGGCCCTAAAGTGTAGTTGATGGGAGGAGGGGCTGTATTCTGAGTGGGGGGTTGGCAGGTGCCAAGGCCCATCCCTGGTGCTTGTCAACCCCAGAGTTGGCATTTCCAAGCCCCTTCTCCAAGCTGGGCTCTCAGAGAGCCCTAAGCCCTTTCCCTGTGGATGAGGGGTGCTATGGACTGAATGTTTGTGCCCCCAACACACCCCTTCAGTATGCTCATGTTGAAGTCCTAACCCCATGGTGATGGTAGTAGGGGTCATGGGGACTGATTCGGTTATGAGGCCAAGGCCATCATGAATGGAATTAGTGTTCTATCAAAGGGACCCCACAGAGCTCCCTGGGCCCCTTCACCACATGAGAACACAGGAAGCCCCAACTATAAGCCAGAAAGAGTTCTCATCAGAAGGCAACTGTAGTGGCACCATGGTGTTGAAGTCTGTGGCCTCCAGATGAGGAGGATGAATGTCTGTACGCCACCCAGACTCTTGTACTTTGTTATAGCTGCGCAACAGATGTACATAAAAGGCTGAGGCCCCAAGAGGGTCAGGCGTTTGCCCAGGGCTGCAGAGACCTGAAACAACCCTGACATACTTAGCCCTTTGCACGCCCTCCTAATGCTCTTTTCTGGGCCCAGCCCCTCACACGCCCCCACCCGTTTGGCCTGGCCGAGAGGGCCATTGCGCCACCAGGGAGGGCCTCTGCACGTCCAGTCAGCCTACTCAGCCTGACCAAGCCAGGATTTCTGTCCATAGCAGCAGGGGCGCTGAGAGGTGGGACTGCTTGCTGGGACCCTAGGTCCTCTGGATGCTCATTTCGTGGGGGTCCTCTGCTTCTGGCTGGGGGGGACTGGGGAGTACCATGGCCAGCAGCCCCAACTCAGGGAGGGAGGCGGGCAGGGGGCAGGGGCGCTGGGACTAGAGGATTCCAGTTCTCTACTGCACTGCCACGTCTTCCTCTGTGTCTCCTGCACTGTGTGCAATGCTGACAATAAACCTCGATCTGCACCCCATTGCCACCTTCCTATGGAACCTGGTCCCCTCCCACTCTGTGCAGTGTCTCATGATGTGATAATACTCTGGGGGGCCAAAGTGGGTATTGGAGAGAAGAGGGACCTCGTCCCTCTGAAATGAATCGTCCCGAGTTTCGGTAGGGGAAAGTTCCTTGGGGTGTGGGCCCTGGACCCCCTGTGCCCACTCATCAAGGCCTGTGATGCATGCATAGTAGTGAGAGGCTTTGGCTAGGTCTGCTGAGAGCTGCTAGTGGGTCCCCGCGCACTTCTCACCAGACTCCCCTAAAAGGCAGCATGGATGTGCTGGACAGTGGCTAAGGACCGGTCAGTGGCGGAGGCACACAGACCAGGGTTTGAATATTGAAGTTCTGACTTTAATTCATCGTGGGACCTTGGGCAAGTAATTTAGATCCTTGAAACTCAGTTTCATTACCTATACAACAGGGACGTCATAGAGCAGAGGAGAGGTCTTAATGGGTTGGCATTTGTGATTTAACCTGGACAAGCCTCCTGCTCGCGTCTGATAAGTGAGAACAGTAATGTCCCTTTCCTCAGCGTCACAGTGGAGATTAGATGAACATGGGCTGAAGTGCTTGGAACACTTCTGGCACACGGTAAGGAATGAGATATTAGAAAGTGGGTATCAGTATTTGTGTATCGGTTCATGGTGTTACAGGGCAACGAGAGGACCACCCTGAACCCCCAAACCTGCCTGCTCCCCTTCTCCTGGGGACCACCCAGGAGCAGCGCCTGGCCACACTGAGAGCTCAGTCTGTGGCAGATAGCAGCGCCCCATCACCACGGGGTTGGGGGTGTGTGCTCAGCACACTAGGCCATAGCAGAGCTGTCCGAGTGTGTTTATAAGAGCTGATTCGTGGTGGACTAGGGTGCGGGAGGCTGTGGGTGGGGGTAGTGAGGCGTGAGGCGGGTCTTCCAGGCAGCAGGGAAGAGTGGGCCATTGGCAGGGAGCTGATGCTGGCAGGACTGGCCAGGCGATGCCAGGTGCTTCAGATCACCGGCTCCCCACCACGGAGATGGGTTCCCATTTTATAGATGCTGTCGCTGGTCTAGAGAGCACACCACAGAGTTCTCATGCTCCCCAGGGAGTCCAAGGCTTGGGGGGCTCTCTGTGAAGCTCCCGGGATGCTCCCCAGTCCCAGCTCCCATCTGGGCAGCCTCAGAAGCGGGTTGACCTGTCTCCTGGGAGAGAAAGCAGTACCTCCCCCCATCTTTAGGAAGTCGGTCTGGGGTCCTCCAGAGCCTCTCCCGGGCATAGGACTCCCATTGTTCCAGCCCCCCTCTCGTACCCCAGACTGGCCAAACCGGTTCTGGGGAAGGGGGGCGGGGAGCAGGCACGTTGAGACAGCCACCTGCCCGCCTGCCTGCGAGGTTCCCTCCGCCTTCGCCTCCCCCTCCCCGCCCCACACAATACCAGCCGCTTGCCTTGCCCAGCTCAGGGGCCATGCTGACATCGCCCCCTGAGGACCCAGCTGCAGCCCTAGAGCCCTCAGGGTGGCCTGGAGCCCTGGACCGTGCTGGAGGCTGGACGGAGCTCCCTGGCCGAGGTAGGGCCCCACCTGGCCGCCTGACTGCCTGCAGCCCCATCCTCCTCCCGCCAGCCAGTCTTCCGGCTGAGTCCTTTGTGCCGCCTGCCGGCCTCTGGTCCAGGCCCGACCCACTGTGGCGTCCTGAGACTCCGCAGGACGGCGTGGCCTAGATGCCTTTCCAACCGTGACCTCCTTCCACCTGGCTTTGCCCTTTAAGGGGCAGAGGGGTCCTGCCTGGGCCCTGCTTCTGAGAGCTGGGGAAGAGGCACCTGGGAGGGGCAGGGAATCACCGGGCACGAGTCAGAGAGGCCTTCCCTGGACGCGGCAGAGCCCAGGACCTGCCCTACTAGCTTTGCCCAGAGGGCCCATGTCCCTGTGATAGCGGTGCCCCCGAATGGACCCCTCCTTGGCCCCTGCCCGTCCTCAGCCGGCAGAGACACACGCGGTGACACCGGTTTCCTAGAGAGGGCAGCATTAGAGGCTACTTATAGATGAGGACACTGAGGCCCAGGGATGGGCTGTGACTTGCCTAAGGCCATGCAGCTGGTCTGTGTCAACCCTGGGCCTTGAACCTTGGCAGGGGGTGTCTCTGTGGGTCCTGGGGCCCACAGAGTTAATGTTCTGGTTCACTCACTTTGTTCCGGAACCCACAGAGTGGACACGAGAGTATCATGTCCCGGGCAGGTAATGTCCCGCTACCTGGGTCAGTTCTCTCCCTGGACCTTTTTTCTAGCAGAGTGAGCCACACACAACAGGGACCCAGCTCTGCTCTCCTTGATCCCCAGCATTTAGGGGAGTCTCCAGCCACACCCCCGGAAGGCCGCAGGGCCAGCGTCCCCGCTAGTCATTCTCTACCCCCTCTGGACTGGACAGAGTCGAGGCTGACTCACTCCTGACTCCCCGCCAGCAGCTGTCCTCCACCTCTCTCCACAGCCACAGCCTCCTCTGAAGCTTTAATAGGAGGTGCTTCTGCCCCAAGGGTGCCATGTTTTGCTCGTTTATCCCTGCGGTTGACAAGGGGGGAGTGTCCCTCCCCACCCTCCAGGGACATCTAGAGCCCAAGTAGAGAGAATGTTCCAGAATGCAGGGAGCAGGGTGTGCACGCTGGCACTTGGGTCCATGTTGTGGAGATTTCTGATTCCTGGGACAGAAGCCTGGGGGGGCAGTGCTTCAGTTTCCCTACTGTGTGATACCCAAGGGTCCCCCAATTAGAGAGAGACACCCAGAAGGAAGAGTGTCCGCTACAGAGCTACTGTTAGGGATGTCACACATCTGCTGATCAACTCACATCAGCCTACGTGTTGACTGATTTTCCTGCTTATCAGTTGAGAAAAGACTTGTTCAGATGGACACTCAGGATGTGGTCAGATTTGAGGGACAAAGGTTTAAGGTACAAGCTAAAGACTGGCCCTGTGGGGATGACCTACAGGAGTAACTGTTTCAGGATGACCCGGTTAGTCCTTCCCTCACCCCAGGCCGGGCATGGGAGCAGTTGAGAAATAGCTGTGCAGAGTTGAGGGGCCCAGTCAGAGACCCAGCTTTCCCCGCACTGGGTCTTCTCTCCTGTCTCTTCCAGTGTCACTGACAATGTCACTGTGTGTCATCATCCTCCCGCCCTCAAGACTTTCTTTCTAAGTGCCCAGGGTCCCTGACAGCTCAGGAGAGAACACTCAGCTATTACTTCCTCCAGGAAGCCTCCTGGAATGCTTGAGTCGAGCCCAGCACCCTCCTCGGGTGGTTTCTCTGGCTTGGCTCTTGCCAACCTGGACTGTCACTGTTTTCATTTTGCCCCATCAGAGTGGCAGCCCCACAGGGCACAAAAACACTTGTCCATCTGTCTCCTGAGTTTTTCTGAGCTCCACATCTGTCTCTGAGTATCTGGGTTGTTGGAAATTTTCAGTCTTTGTCTCTGTTTCCATCTCCGGGTCCCTGAATGTCTCAGCGTCTGTGGTTTTCTGGCTTCAAGTGATTTGGGGTCTCGGCTTCTGAGCAGCGTGTGAAGGCTCTCCTGGGTCTTCTGGCCTAGCACTGTGGGTGAGCCGCTGGAGGGGGTCCTTGCTCCCCCGGCCTGCCCACTGTGAGGCCTGGCTAGGGTAGCCCCCGCCCAGCCCGCTGCCGGCTCCCTCCCTCCCCACCGCTTGCCTGCTTGCCTCACCACAGGGTTTGATGAATCAAACTCTTTGTCTGGGTGGGATCTCCCCCAACCAGCTGGGCAGAGACAGGGCTTCCCCTGCGGAACAGCTGAACAACATCAGAGGCAGCGTCCTGGCTGGAGAGGTGAGGGGCTGCAGAGGCAGCCAGCACAGGGCCTGGGGGGAGGGGGAGGGGGCTCAGACCCCAGGATCACTAGGCCTGGCCTGGAGCTCCGGCGGCCTCCCCGGGGTGACTCCCTGCTCAGAGGACCCAGAGCAGTTTGGTCTGAGCCTGAGGCTTGGAGCTGGGGTTGGAAAGAGCCCCTCTCTCACCCCAAGCTGGGAGGGGGGCTGCGGCACCTCCCTGCCCTTCTCTTGGGAGGGCTGAGCTTCATCTGGGTGGTGGCCTGCCTGCCAGTCCATGACCCTCCCAGCCAGCTTGGCATGGGTGTGGGCACCACTCAATGCCAATGGCTGCCAGTCAACATGGGAGGGGAGGTTGGGTAATAGCGAGGGAGGACTCCTGGGCCTGGGTGTTTGTGTCTACATCCTGGTATGAGTGTGAAGGCCACAGGAGTGGAGAAAGCTTGAGTGGACCTGTAACTATCTGCTGGGACAGTGCGTGTGCGCGTGAACATATCGGGTGTGTGTATCAGTGTGTGTGTGAGTATGAGAAACTGTGAACTGGAAACGTCTGGGTGGGTCTGTGCAGATCTCAGCATGTGTGCTGGGGAGAACCTGCATGGAACACACCTGGCTGCATGGGACAGTGAATGAGGGTGTGACCAGATGCCCGGGTGCGTTTGGAGCTGGATAGGTAGAGAGCTGAAGAAGATTGCCTGGGTTGAAGCTGGCTCACCACAACCTCTCTGTGTCTTGCTTTCCTCGCCCATAAAACAAACCTTGGGGTTCTGAAGACTGAATGATAGCATATGTGTAAATCACTGGGCCGGTCACTCAGTGAGTATGGCGATTACTATAGAATTAGTTCTGAGTGTGCTTCTTTTTTTTTTTTTTTTTTTTAAGATTTACTTTATTTATGCAGCCAAGAACTGGGGTACAGGCCAGAGGTGAGAGGGAGTGAGAGGAGTCACCAGAGACAGAGCGGGGAGCCAAACAGGCAGATGGACTGAAACCCCCTGCTGAGGGGAGCAGTGGGGAGACAGGAGAGGTCTGCTGTGCCCTGCGGGTCACCTCCCTGGCCAGGGATCGAACTTGTGCTGCAGTAGCTTGGGACAGCTTCACAGTGCTGAGAGTTAGCGCCCGCACCACCAGGGAGGTCACTGAGTGAGCACAGACGTGTGTCTGGGCCTCAGGGACACGGCAGCTTGCTGGCAGCCCTGGGGTCCTATGTCTGGCTCTGACGCCTTCTCCCCTACAGGCCCAGGTGGGTGGCAGAGCAAAGGAGGAATGGACTGTAGGCCACCTGCCACCCTTCCGTCCCACCTGGCCGGGCCACCTGGCGCTGTGCACCGCCCAGTAGCCGTGTGTCAGCAGGAGAGCCTGTCCTTTGCGGACCTGCCCACCCTGCAGCCCCCCAGCCCTGTGTGTCTGGATCTCTTTCCCGTCGCCCCGGAGGAGCTGAGGGCTCCTGGAAGCCGCTGGTCCCTGGGGACCCCTGCTCCTCTCCAAGGACTGCTATGGCCACTGTCCCCAGCAGACCCAGACACCGAGGTCTCCACCGGTGGGGGCATGCGGCCCAGCAGGGCCGGCAGCTGGCCCCACTGTCCCAGTGCCCAGCCTCCAGCTCTGGATGGACCCTGGAGTCCTCAGCACCCACAGCCACAGCGCCGGGCCAGTCACGGCTCAGAGAAGAAGTCAGCCTGTGAGTCACCTGTGGGGAGGGGCGGGGCTCAGCGGGGTGGGTGACAGAGAGGTTGTGTGCCTCCTGCCGGGCCCTGAAGTCTCAGAGTTCCCCAAAGGGGCAGGACCAGTGGGAGACGTTAGTGATGAAGAAACTGGGGCTCCGGGAAGGCAAATGACTTGCCCATAGTAAGTGAGTAAGTGAGCAGCTGTTCTGGGCTCCCTGGCGCCTTGCCCGTATTTTGCCCATCTGTCAGGTACTGCGCTCTCTCTATCCGTCTCGTTATCCCATCATTCCAAGGAGAAACATGGGCTCTTTCCCTAGACGCTCAGGACCATAGGGAGGAAGGAGGAGGTGGGGACAGTCCCCAGTGGACACTGGCCTGTGCCCTCACCCCCACTTCCTGCAGGGCGCAAGATGCGGGTGTACCAGTGTGAGGAGGCCCCCCACGCAGTCTTCCTGGAGCCTGGCCAGGCATTAGAGCCGACCCTGAGCACAGAGGAGCCCAGGCCACTGGAGCTGTCTGGGCCCACGCGTGTGGGCATCGAGGGGCCTGAGCGGAGGCGCTTCTCGGCCTCTGAGCTGATGACCCGCCTGCACTCTTCCCTGCGCCTGGGACGAAACTCTGCCGCCAGGGCACTGGCCCAGGGGTCGGGCCCCGCAGCCTCCCGAGAAGGTACCAGCTCCTCCCCTGGGACCTAAGAGCAGCCCAAGAGCCAGATGGGGCACAGGTCCACCCACACTCGCTGGTCACCTGAGCCTGGGTGCTGGTCAGCTGGAGTGTGGCACCCCAGCGCCGGGCCACTTTTGGGGCCACCCACTCTCAGTTCTTGCCCCCTCCAGGGAAAGCAACTGGAAGGGAGTCTCGCAGTATAGAGATGAGGGTGGACGGTGTGGTGATGCCAGCCCCTGTTGACCCGAACGTGAGCCATGGAGGCTGGCAGGAGCCCAGGTACCACCTCCCACTTGGGACGCGGCTCTGCCGTGAGGTGCCCGTGGAGAATATGCTGACCCCCTTCCTTCCCTAGGCTGGACACGCAGGAAGAGCCGGCTCTGGGTTCCAGAAGCGGCAGAGAGCGGCGCCAGTCTAGGTTCCTCCTTAACTGTACGTGGGTGGGCCTGGGGGCTTGGGTAGGGACTGTGTGCGAGGAAGAGAATTAAATCCCCAGGGTGTAGCGCAGGGGCGAGCGTGCAGGTGGGTGGTACACGCAGGTGGGTCGAGGCTGCTCGTGGCAGGAATGAATGAGTGAGTGAGTAGGTGACAGTGTCCACTCTGCCCCGCTGTCGAACAGCTGGAAAGGCTCCTTAATTAAAGCAGCCTCTTGGGGGGTGCCCGGGAGGAGCCGGCGGCCGGCAGGTGCCCCACGGCCCCCCTCCGCCCTTCTCCCCGCCCAGCCGTCCTCTACCAGGAATACAGCGACGTGGCCAGCGCCCGCGAACTGCGGCGGCAGCAGCGCGAGGAGGAGGGCCCGGGGGACGAGGCGGAGGGCGCG